GTGCTCAATCACTATGATCCTAGAACTTGAACATTAAGAGACAATAAATTCTCATTGGGGATATCTGTACATAACTACTCATTGAGCATATTCTGACGAGACAGCATTGGATACACGACAGCTAATAACTATACTGTTTATATAAAGTAAAAACTAAAGTAAAAGGAATGAATTTGGACGATTAAGGGACAACAAGGTGCAGAACTGGATGAACACAGCAGGCCAAGCAGCATCACATTTTCTGCAATTTTCTGATGAAGGGTCTAAGCCCGAAACGTCAGCCTTCCTGCTCCTGTGATGCTGCTTAGCCTGCTGTGTTCATCCAGCTCTGCACCTTGTTGTCTCGGATTCTCCAGCATCTGCAGTTCCTACTATCTCTGGACGATTAAGGGCTTGGGGGGACTCCTTTTCAGACAGCTCCTCAGGATTGAGGCCTTGCTTCCACTCTGGTTTGATGAATTCTGAGGATGGCTGCTAAACCCTATGCTCAATCTGCAGACTTTGCCACATGCAAGGCAGATGGTTCTTCAAGGGTAGGGTCAATAGGTTGTGTGCTCCCTCTAATGCCTCAACTTCACCCCTGCATATTTCTGGTAATGTTTCTCAAGATGTCTGGTACCTCTACAAACTGTTTGGTTACTGGTCAGGGTCTGTCAAGAGTCAGTGGGGATGTTTGACTCTTCAGGGATGCTTTGAGAACCTGAAAGGGTTTACACTATCCTTCTGGGAATTTCCTGGTATATCTCAGTTCCAAGCAGAGTTGCTTCAGGAGTCTAGTGCCATGTGTATAAACTACCAGTCCACCCATCTAAACCGGCTTTGAGTGATTAGCAACTTGATGCTAGCATTTTGGCTTCAGTGAGTGCCCTGCTGTTGGATTGTCTTTCTTACCAGTGGAGTGGGAAGATCTTGTGAAAGCATCACAGATGATAACTTCCCAGTGCTTTGAGGAAGAAAGCAGAGAGTGGGGATAAAAGGGTCTTTCTCAGGATGGCAGCCGGTGACAAATGGTGTTCTGCAAGGGTCAGTATTGGGACCACAACTTTTCACTTTGTACATTAATGATCTGGTGAAGGAACTGTGGGCATTCTGGCTAAGTTTGCAGACGATACAAGGATAGGTGGAGGGACAGGTAGTATTGAGGAAGTGGTGAGGCTGCAGAAGGACTTGGACAGGTTAGGAGAGTGGGCAAAGAAGTGGCAGATGGAGTACAATGTGGGAAAGTGTGAGGTCATGCACTTTGGTAAGAAGAACAAAAGCATGGACTATTTCCTAAATGGGGAGAAAATTCAGAAGTCTGAAGTGCAAAAAGACTTGGGCGTTCTAGTCCAGGATTCTCTCAAGGTAAACTTGCAGGTTGAGTCAGTAGTCAGGAAGGCAAATGCAATGTTTGCATTTATTTTAAGAGGACTTGAATACAAAAGCAGGGATGTACTACTGAGGCTTTGTAAGGCTCTGGTCAGACCACATTTGGAGTATTGTGCGCAGTTTTGGGCCCCATATCTCAGGAAGGATTAACTGGCCCTGGAGCGGATTCAGAGGATGTTCACGAGAATGGTCCCTGGAATGGAAAACTTAACATATGAGGAATATTTGAGGACTCTGGGACTATACTCATTGGAGTTTAGAAGGATGAGGAGGAGTCTAATTGAAACTTACAGAAAACTGAATGGCCTGGACAGAGTGGATGTTGGGATGATGCTTCCATTGGTAGGAGAGACGAGGACCCGAGGGCACAGCCTTAGAGTAAAGGGAAGACATTTTAGAATTGCGATAAGGAGAAACTTCTTCAGCCAGAGAGTGGTGAATCTATGGAATTCACTGCCACAGAAAGCTGTGGAGGCCAGGTCATTGAGTACATTTAGGACTGAGATAGATAGATTCTTGATTATCAAGGGGATCAAGGGTTACAGGGAGAAAGCAGGAGAATGAGGTTGAGGAACGTATCAGCCATGATTGAATGGCGGAGCAGACTCGATGGGCCGAATGGTCTAATTTCCGCTCCAATGTCTTATGGCATGACCTCACACTTTCCCACGTTGTACTCCATCTGCCACTTCTTTGCCCAATCTCCTAACCTGTCCAAGTCCTTCTGCTGTAGGTCATCCAAGTACCTGAATCATATAAGGACGTTCGGGTCATAGCTGTCTAGTAAACCATGATTGACATAAATCTTGGGCTTGAAATCTGGTTCTCAAGTATTCTTTTCTTCAGTTGGCCAAAGGTTGAATTGGCATGTTGGGAGGCCATCCTGAATTGTGTTGTGAGGAGACTCTTAAAATTTAACGAATTGCCCACTTTTTCAGTCACATGTGCAGTCTACTCTGCGGAGCCTTCTTCACCATCTCCATTAAGCTATGGCCATCTGCTGCCACCTATTCTTCTGTCATCCTAGTAAATCCTTACTGTTGGCACCATGCCAACACTCCAGCCAACTGAACCAATCAGCATTCCCCAAGGAGAACCAGTTACTGTGGCAACATACACCTTTACAGGCATGTTGTAGGCTAGACCCATAATTAGTGATGGTAGAGGCTTTGCTTATGTATCAGAGTGAGTACTTGCAGTGGGGGTCATTCAAATAAAGTTCACTAATTGATTCCTAATCTACAAGGAAAGGTTGAGCACATACTTATTATGGTTTAGAAGAATGAGGGGTGATCATACTAAAGCATTTAAGATTCTGACAGAGTACGATAAGGTATGTGCTGAGATAATGTTTGCCCTCAAGGAACTCTGCGCACAGTTTCTGGATAAGATATCTCCTATTTATGAAGAAGATAAGGAGGGACCTCATCTCTCAAAATGTTGCTATGCTTTGGAATTCTCTACCCGAAATTTTTGAACAACAATGAAGTCGAGGAATAAGAGGACCAGACAAGAAAGTCGAGTGAAGGCCATACTCAGGATCAGCTATGAATCTGAGGAAGGGTCACTGGACCCGAAACATTAGCTCTGTTTTTACCTTCACAGATGCTGCCAGACCTGCTCGGCTTTTCCAGCAACTTTGTTTTTGTTGTTGTTGTCAGCTATGAATCTTACTGAATGACAAATCAGGCTCAAGGGGCTGAATGGCCTACTCCATTTTTATGCACTATATTTCTGTATTGGACTACATTGGGAAAAAAATAGTCTAAGACTCTTCATCTGTCCAGAATCTGCTATTTTTGTGTTTTTTCCCCTGATCTGCAACCAGTGAAAAAGCCTAGAGCAACATCATCTTTCAAGCTTGACTTCAAATTCAGGATCCTTTCAAAATCAGGAAGCTATTTTATGTTCTGGACACACTAAGAACACCAAAAGATTTAAATTCTGTCTTTGCCTCCCTGGTGTCCTGCAACATTTAAAATATCTTGGGGTCATATCAGTCCATTGTCCTCCCCAGCACTGTATTGACTGAGAAATGTCAGTCTCCTGTGTCTGGCTGCTGGATTCGCTGCGAATTTTCAGCTTCATTCTGTTCCTGACTACAGGTTATGGATAAATAATACTTAGTAAGAACTGTCCACCAGTTGAATATAGGTAAACAGAGAGCTGGAGATTTCTTTTAAGTTCTTGATTTATTGAAGCAACATTGACTTTCTGTACTATGCATTATGATTTTCTTTATCTATATCCTGTTCCCATTTTTATGATCTGATAAATTGTTGCCCAAATTGTGAATTCAGCAGCACCTCTGCTACACGGATAAGGGATATAATTGATTAGGGTAATCTATAGGTGGGATTGTCAATATAGAACCGTCAGAAATGGCTAGGGTGCCAGAAACCAATTATGTCGGGTCGATAAGGATAATTAATTTCAAATGGTGAATCTTATCCAAGCATTTGAATTTTTAAAGAATCTAGCTCTCAAGTATCTGCAGAGTACCATAAAAAGCCCTGGTTTTGTTTGTGGACTTTGTAAAGAAGTGATCAATTACACAGCTCACATTTAGACAATGTCCATACTGTTCGACACAACTAATCAATTTGGGAAAATATTAGGGAAAGATGGTATTGTCATGATGATAGCAATGAAATGAGTCATTGGTAATCAGTTTTAATACTGATGTTGGATGAGGGAAGAATGTTGCTGTTTATGCATATCCCAGATGTTCCAATGAGTCACACCTGGGAGTTAGTATGGTTTGTAGTCCAACTGAAAGCTTTATAGGTGTATTGTGTGATTTGGTTGCATTGATCCCTGGATTTCCTGTTTGTGATGGGTGCTGTATGGGGAATTTCAACTTAAAGTTTCCATTAATTTTGCCAACGGTTTCCTGGGGTTTATCAATGCTGCTTTCTGGCTAGACTGGTCATCAAAGTGAGCCATCTAATAAACCGTCAGAAATCAACACTGCCCATAAAAGATAAAAAGTACTTGTCAAGACTATGCATTCTTGATTTAATTACATCTACAAAAAGAAATAGCCACTCAGACCTACGTAGGTTTGGTTGTTAATAATTTAACTTAACAATAATGTGCCACATTGTTCTCCCCTATGAGCTAATCAGACTGTTACAGCCTGTGAGGAAATAGACAATACAAGGAGTTTAAGCTTTTTCAAAACATGGTGTGTACCATGGGCCTCTTGTGTGTGCGTGTGTGTCTCTGTCCTGCCCACAGAAGACCTCAAGAAAATATCCAGTAACAAACTGTAATTGAGTTAGTGGCCAGAAGGAGATATTGCAAATACATGAGTTTTTAAAATTTAGTTTTGATCTCCTGTCTGACCCACCAACCAGGGGTTCAGCTGTGTCAAAACAGGTGGCAGTAGCGATGGTAGATTGTGATTCCTCATAATTTTGAATATTTTGCCAACATTCACCATCTAAGTTTAGGCACATGAAATAATTGCTTGGTTGGGAAGTAAGCTATGCCTTGAGCCCAGAACAGCCAGCTTCAATATGTAACTGATGTTGCCCAGGCATGGGAGCTGTGTCAGCTGGGTGACTTACAGAGGATGTGCAGAATTACAACTACAATACGGACAAATAAATAGACAAACCAGTTACAGCTGAAAGAAAATACAGTATTTATTGAAACCAAATAAGTAGTTCATCCTCTCTTAGACATCTCTTTGTCTCTGAAAGATTTGCTGAACGTTCAGTCAAACTGCCTTAAGATCTGATAAGTCTCCTCAGCCTCGTTGCTGATCTCTGGGCATGCAGGCTTTCTGTAAGTAATCAGATGTGACACGTTATGCTATAGACAGGCTCCTTGTGCCTACCTGCAGTCCTTGTTCCTTAAACTATGGTGTGTACAGTGTTGCATGGCTTGGTCCTGGAATTATTCTTCCGCAAATGCTAAGTGTAGCAAACGAAAAGTAGGCTGACAACCATGAAGGTGGCCCCAGAGACTGGAAAAAAAATATTATCAGCACCCTTTCTCCCTGAGGAAGAATATTGCATAAGAAGAAAGTCAGTGGACTGAAAGAAACACAAATCTTATGGTTTTCTCATTGCAAAAGCAAACTAAACACAAATCAGGGTTGTGGATCTATTTTTGATTTGCCATGCAAGTTCAGTCACCATTCACTGCTGATTCAGCTATAGACCCCACAAACAACCAACAGGCTCTGCATGTCACAACTCATGACAAACAATCACCACCAGGGAATTTAATGTCGCCATAGTGTTTATTACACCATCAGTTCAGTATGGTTTCTGACCTAGGGCCAATGCAGAATCAGTGAAGGTTGAATGTGAAACATTAAGATGTAAAGGATAGTAAGTGCTTTATTCATAGTGCTGTCAGGGAGCCCTCACTTTCAAACACTTCTCCTAATCCACTTAACTGCAAAATGCTGATCCCAGCACCTTTTGTAGCAACTCAGCTTCTCCACTTTGATGAGCTTAAAAAATGATTTTGTACAAACTAGTCTTAATCAGTCAGTACTCAAGGTGCTGCTTCCTTGTTAACATTCTGGGGACTGTAAGGACTGTATTGGTGGAGGGGTCAGGTGGGGAGCAGGTCTTGTCTCCTGCATCCTGATGTCCCGTGTACGTGATTATTCTTATGTTCAAGGCTGAGATAGACAGATTTCGAAACAGTAAGGGAATCAAGGGCTAAAGGGAAAAGGCAGAAAAGAGGAGTTGAGGATTATCAGATCAGCTATGATCTCATTAAATGGCAGAGTGGACCTGATGGGATGAATGTTTCTGTTCCACATCTAATGGTCTTTATCAATGCTTAGATAATGTGATGTTGCCTAGCTGTTAGACTGAATGGTCATCAAGGCCAAGATCAAACCTATCATGACTGAGGACCACTCAATATCACTCAGGTATTTCCACTGATTCGTTCACTGTATAGTTACAGCATTCCTAGGGAGTTGATGTTAGCGTAGGCAAAGTTCATAACAAACCATGCTCTGTGTTTACTTCCAGGACCTTCTGGGAACCCATCACTGAAGTACTTCTTCCCATTTCAGTGAGCTTGCTACTGTGCAGCTGAAGCTGAATGTCAGGAAAGCAGAGGAGAATTCTCACAGCTTGAACATCTGAAACTCGCTGAGTGGGATATTGTGAAACTGAAAGCTTATTTAGAACACTAAATAATGAATTGGGTCAAAATCCTAGAACTCTCTCCCCAGTGACATTGTGGATTTACCCACAGCAAATGGACCGTAGCTGTTCAAGGCAGGAGCTCACCACCACCTTCTCAAGGTCAACTAGGATTGGTCAATAAATGTTGACCCAGCCAGTAACGCCTGAAAGAATTTGAACAAAGATGCACTGAGCTGAGCTCTAAAACCTACAGCAATGGTAGTCTGCAATTTGCAATGCTGACACTCTGTTTACACTTTGGACACAGTGGCAGAAAGAAGGAATTACATTATTCTGTAAAAGAGGAAGGGAAAAACCAAATGGTTTCCTTATAGAACACTCACGAGCTCTACAATCTTTGCGAAAGGTATAGGCCTTGCAACAGACTGTCCTCCCACAATGGAACCTGGATAGGAGAGATTTCCTCTCAATCTACACTCACTGAGGATCATGAAAGTAACTTAAGGAAAACAATAAATGTTAATTGTAGTTCACCACCACCAGCTCACAGCAATACATGAGAGACAGAAAGAGGCAAAGAGTGGATTAAAAGATAGTAGAAGTGAAACAGACCTATAGTGAAAAATATGACACAGTTACAGATACTGAGACTGAAAGCTACAGACATGAGGATTCTTCACTGAAAAGTAATTTCTGCAATGCTGATTCATTTGTAGGCATGTTTTCTCATCGAGTCATGCTTTCCCACCTTGCTGGTTGCAAAAGCTCAGTTCTTCTACTTCAACATCCTATTTCTGGTTTAACTTTTTAAAAATTCAATCATGATGTGAGAGTATCACTGACTGGGCCAGTATCTGTTCCTCGCTCCTAGTTGTCCTTGGCACGGTAGTAGTGAGCTGCCTTCTTGAACCGCTGCAGTCCAAGTGCAACATTGTCTGGTGCTGAGGTTAAAGAAGAGAATGATAGAGGGGGAAGACACAAATTATAAAGACTGTAACTTTTTATTTTTCTGTACTTTTGACTGTGAGCTGGAATGGGAAAAATTATTGTTTTTTTAAAAACAAGAACTGTGGAAGGGTTGCTACACTTTTTAAAAGCAGGTTAGCAGCATTTATTGCAAGTGCTGTTTTACACTGTTGTTTGTAATAGAGTCATAGTCATAGAGTCATACAGCAAGAAACACACCCTTCAGTCCAACTAGTCCATGCTGACCATGTTCTCAAACTAACCTAGTTGCACTTGCCTGCATTTGGCCCTTATCCTTCCAAACCTTTCCTATGTATGTACCTGTTCAAATGTTTTTACAATGTTGTAACTGTACCTGCATCTATCACTTCCTCCGGCAGTTCATTCCACACTATACATTCCCTGTGTTAAAACATTGCCTCTCATGTACTTTTTACATCTCCTCTCACCTTAAAAATATGCCCTCTAGTTTTGAACACCACCACCCTAGTGAAAAGATCCTTGCTATTCGCCTTATCTATGCCCGTCATGATTTTATAAGCTTCTATAAGGTCAACCCTAACCCTCCTATGCTCCAAAGAAAGAAGTCCCAGCCCTTCCAGCCTCACCTTACAACTCAAACTCTCCATACCAAGCAAAATCCTGGTAAATCTTTTCTGAACTTTCTCCAATTTCAGAATATCCTTCCTATAGCAGGGCGATTAGAATTGCACACAGTACACCAGAAGAGGCCCTGTTGGAGGATGAGTGATGATGTTTATTGCAGATTAAGTGGAAACTTGGGAAGTGTAAGAGATGCAACAAGTAGCTGACCTGTGGAGTGGTGACCAGTTCTCAATGACAAAGGCCTTCTGCCTGCCAACAACTACGTGATTGGATCTTAGGTAGCTGAACAGCTTGTGTGTGTAAATGATTATAGCCAGAAGCCATCAGGGGACCTCAGGAAATTAAGGTAGGGTCCTTTTATCTGTAGTAAAAGCTAGGTAAAGTCTAAAGAAAACCAGCTTATTTTCCATCTGCCATTGCTGCAAGCTGTTGCTTTTGACTAGTAAGTGAGAGACTTTAGAATTTGTGAACCAGTCATTCTATGCTTCCTGCAAGGACGTGGAAAATAACTGCAGAGCAAGAGAGAGATCAACAAACAGCAAATCATGACAAGCAAAATGATCATCTTAATGAATCCTGTAGACAGGGACCATTGAACTGATTTGCATAAATTTCTTAATTGTTAACTTATGACATAAAAAACTGTCGGGTCATTTTGAGTTTCGTTTCTTTGTCAAATGAGAATATGCCGAATTTTCCAACTGCTGTTTTATCCTTGACCCTGATATATCAACTGTGCACTGTGCCCTCCCTGTCTCCTCTCTCGTAAGTCTACTGTTTTCTCCCAGGCTTTACCATTTTCTCAAAAACAATAATCACCAACATCATAAACTTACAGGTAAAATGATGTGACTTACAGCACAGACTGAGACCATTCAGTTCATCAAGCTTGTACTGTTACACAATAATTACCTTAGAGTAAAACCTCTCAAGGAGTTTTACAAGGTACAGCTGAGCAGGAAGTAGAGGACACATTAACTGAAATTGTATCAGTTTGGGAAATAAACTGCCATGATCAATAATAGGAAATCATTCTGGACCAGGACATCGTGGAATGAAACTCACAGCTAAGGGAAAAATTTTGGATTCGATATAACACACTGCTTGTTTATATTCCATTACAGATTAAAAATGGCATGTTTCACAATATTGATAACTGCATTTAACAGGTTTGTATATTGTACTAACACTTACGGTGCAGATTGTGTCATTCTTTTTGGTTTATATGGAAGAGCCAATAGTTCTTTCTGTGAAAGAGAAAGTTGTAAGTGATTCAAATCACTAATATTCAGTCATACCCAAAGAAACCAATAATCTGACTTCCTATAGAAGTAGAGATAAAGACAGAGACATAGAGTGTGTGAAACAGAGTGAGTGAGTATGTGTGATAACAAGGTGTAGAGCTGGATGAACACAGCAGGCCAAGCAGCGTCAGAGGAGCAGGAAGGCTGACGTTTCGGGCCTAGACCCTTCTTCAGAAAAATTTTTCTGAA